GTTTGTGAACCCTCTGAAATTATATGCAAATACATATGCATGTTTGTGTGTGTGCTGTATGTATTTTTTTGGGAAGAGAATCCACAGCTTTTAACAATTTCTCAGAGAGTTCCATAATCCAGAAGAGGTTATTAATATTTAGATGAGGTGATTCTTGCAAAGGTGATAGATATCTCACTGCTCAGAGGTTCGCTGTCCTTTCATTTCCCAGGGGAAGCTTGCTCTGTGAGGAGCATGTGGCTGTGTCTGGTCTTTGCGTGACTGTTTACATGCGTGCTGAAACTCCCCCAGAGGACTCTAACCCAGACCCCGTTCTAGATGAGACTGTAGTATATGCTGCCCTCAACACCCTCTCCAGCACTTTCTTCTGAGCAGGCATGAGGAAAAGATGAGGTTTCCCTGCTGCCCCAAGAAGAATTCCAACCAGGGCCTAGAGCCTTCCTGCAGTTTCACTAGAGCAAGTGCCTTGCCTGGCTCCTGCTGGGCCCCGAGGTCCCCCTGGTTTCTGGCCAGCAGCCTGGCTGGGGGTGCAGGGCTACAGGCAGGACCACTATGGAGGTCACCCCACGGAATCCTGCCTTCTCACCCCCCCACCCCACAACCACCACCTCAGGTTTCCTGTCACATGGGCAGAGCAACCTTCTTGCTTCCCCAGCCTTGACTGTCCACTCATGTGCACCCACTCATAGCTGCCTGGGCCCAGCCTAGGCTGCTAGGACACTGTATCTCCCGCACCCAAATCGGGCAGAGCTAAACTCACAGGCTCGCCAAGGTGATGTGAAGAGACTTCGGCCTCATCCCCCTTCTGCTGAAGAAATTAAACACGAGTCTGTCAGTGATGTGAAGGAACCATATCTCCTCTTCGAATACCCACAATGAAGGGTATTTCTAGCAGTGGCGTAGGTGCCTCCCCCACCCAGCACCCTCACTTCAGTTGGTTGTGAAGGGCCTCTCGGGGTTAAGGAGTAAGAGGAGAGATAAGTTGGCATGGAAAACCCAAATGGGGCCCCCATTACCTGTGCTGGTGCTCCAGGCAGAGGGGGCTGTGGGCCACTGCATGCATCCAAACCTGAAATGGTCCAGACACTGCTGAGAGCTGTCCAGCACCCCACACCTCAGCTGTTCCTTTAGCAAAACACATCTACCTCCCCAGAATGTCCTCCCTTATCTCCCCCAGGCCTGGGAGCCAGTAACGCCACCATTTTTTGAATGCCCCTTACATGCCATGTTCTGTGCTGAATCCTCATTTAGTCATCACAGAAGCCACACAAGGCAGATGAGGCGGAGGGAGGTCAAAGTCACACAGGACATGTCAGCACTGGGATCTGAACCCAGGCAGCCTGGCCGGAGCCTGAGCTGTCCCCAGAGCTCTGACATGGGCAGGCTGTTCTCCCTGGCACCCTCCCTTCCCCTGCTGGTCTGAGGGTGTGGCCCAGAACACAGCCTAATGAAAGACAAGAAACCAAAAAGCAAAGAGTGGCTCAAATAGAGGCCTTTCCAAATAAGCACTGAAATGAACTCTCTCTGACTTCTCTCTAGGCAAAGAATGCAAGCCATAGCCCCCCTCCCACAACCTACCTCATCCTGGGCTAGATCTGTCTCCCCAAATTAGCTCAAAACCTCAGTGTAACATATATCTCCCACCTCTGAGGCAGCCCAGCCAGGCCCAGCTGGGAACCCCTGGAGAGGGGGGCCAAACAGAGGGTCTACCTATGAAGCCTGCAAGATGGTAGGCCTTGTGGCCAGACCAAGGGAGGTGCTGAGCTGCCACCCAAAGGGAAAAACAGCAGGAACTGCCAAGGGGGCTGGATCTCACCAGGCAGTGTGGGGATGGTGAGTGAGTTGCTCCGCGAGGATGTAGGAGAAGCTCTGGGGCTGAGGTTTGGGGAAACAGCTGTTGAGACAGACACAAATTGGCCAGTTTTAGTGAAGGTTTAGGACTTCCGCTTAACACATACATGCTTTCAGGTACTTCTGACCTCTGGGTACTGGGTCTGCCTCATTGAGATCAGCCCAGTGCCTCCCTGCTGCCAGCCCAACAGAGGGGGCACTGGGTCACCTACAGGGGTGAGGATTGGGGTCACACTCCTCAGCCTGCCTGGCCTGACCTGACCTCAAAGCACCTTCTAGAAACAGAGGACCTGCCATTGCTTGGCAGATGTAGCTCCACAAACTGTACCTCCCAGACTTGACAGGATGGCCCTGATTTCAGAGGCTCCCCTTGCCTTCTAAGTACATTCAGACTTGTCTAAAATTTGCCTCAACTCTGTGTTCAGGAAAAAGAGTGATTTTAGCCAAAGGTGTAGCAGGGTGGACTTCAGGCCCAGGAAAACCTTCCTTCTAATCCAGAAATTCCATGAAGACACCGAAGACCACGTTCCCCTTCCCTTCCCCACAGTGCCTCGGATCCTTCCCAGGGCCCCCAGCTGGAAATCAGGGAGAGGGAGCCCAGTGCTTGCCATTCCAGACCTTTGCTGGGGAGGTGCCCATAGAGCAGGACCGCCTGGGGAGGGTGGGGAAGTCATGCAGACTCTGTCCATGCAGTGACCCAGGAGTCTGCACACACGGGCATCACACACAGGATTTCTCTCCATGCAAGATTCAGAGCTGGGGGAGCTCCCGTTAGGTTCATGGGTATCATACGGGCTGACATTCTCATAGAAACAGGAAGCCACAGTGGTCACACACAGGCCCCCAAAACAAAAAGCAGAGTTTTCTGGGCTAGAGTTGGGTCAATATTTTGGAGCTTCTGAAATGGGGCCTCACTGGAACCTCTCCATAAGGCTCAGTCCTCCTGGGCCTAGAGGCTGGGGGCAGGCAAGTCAAAGCAGGGCTTCCAGTGCAGCCAGGCTTGGCTGTCCCCCTCCCATCCCTCCTCAGAGGGGCTCAGGGCAGCCCACGTGCATCCTACCTGATGGAGAGTCTCCGGGGCTGCTTCTGGACTTCCTCCCACGTCGGGTCAGGAATCGCTCACTCACCAACTTGGCTTCCTCCAGCAGAGCCAGGTTTTTCTTCTTGTCCTCCTCTGAGATGCTGATGTCTGGCAGCTGGTCATTTACCAGGTCAATGATATGCCCCGCAGGGTCTGCAGAGGGAGGGTGAGCACAGGGTGAGAGTCCCTGCTACTCCATGCCCCAGCCCAGGGATGCTGCCCAGAGCAGACTTGGCCAGCCAAACCTTGCCTGGGCCCAGTGCCGAGCTATGGAGAGGGCTGCATGGGGTCAGACAGGGCTTCCTCAGCAGGTTTGGCCCCTGTGGCTTCTAGCCTGTAGCTGTGGCAGGTCCTCTGTCACAAATGGTCATGAAGCCACCTAGGTTCCCAGTACTATCCTAATCTCCGCTGTTAGGGAAGGCCAGCAGGAGCCCCAACTCTGCGCTATCTGCCCTGCTATCGTGTACTTCTTTCAGGTCTATGTTTCTTCAATAAGCTAGTGAGCTCAAGGTGTGTGGGCACAGGGAGCACTCAGAAGATTATGGGCCAAAGACACAATCGCATGGCCACCTCCTCTCGCTTCTTTCCTCCACTCACACTATTTACTCCAATCTTGTTCAAAACTGTTTCTTCTCTGGGTGAATAACACCTAGCTGCCCAGAAACATGGGAGTCACTCCACATTCCTCCCTCTTCCTCAATCCCCCCACATCCAACCAACTGGTCATCAAGTCCTGATCATCATTTTTGCTGTATGGGTACCTACCTCTGGAATGTGCCTCTCATCTCCATTCTTGCTCATGAGCTTTTACCTGCACAGTTATATCAGACATTTCATACCCCCATACCCCCACCTCCAGGCTATCACCTCTATCTCATCTTCCAGTGTCTATCACGGTGATCTTGCTAAGAGCCATATCCGACCATGCCATGCTCCTGCCTCACCTCATCAGGATTCCTCATGGAATGATGTCCAATGCCAAACTGGGCCCAGCCACTTTTGATGACCCCATGTATTCCTCCTGAGGCCATTCCCATTGTGACTCTCCAGCCTCCATTCCCCCTTCTGTTCGTAGCTTCCCAATCTGCATTGAGCGAATTCCCTCTTCATCTCAATTACATTAGTCAGGGAGGAGCTAATCCTCCCTCCCACCTCACCTCAAGTGCCAGGAGTGGGACTGTGTACCATCCTCAGCCAGTCAGTGAATTCAATACCCCAGCCACAGTGATTGGTGCAGGGATAGCCATGGGAGTTCAGTGAGAGGCAATACTCTCTTTCCAATGATGGGAAGTAAGCCTGGAGTTGTTGGTAGCCATTTCCCAAAAAGAGAGGGGACTTGAGAGATGGGATGGAACAATTATTAATGATCCAACTTGAGCATCTGGATTCAGTGCTACCTGAAACCACAAGCCCTGGCTTTTATTCATTTTCATTTTCTTTGGTGTAAGCTAGTTTGAGTTGGGTTTCTATCACATGAAAGCCCTGACACCAGTACACACAGCTGAACACTCAGTTAGCCTGTTATGCCTTCTGCTCCCCAGCATGTTGCTTCTTCTACCTGGAAGGCAACACCTTCCCTCCCTCTTCTCTATCTCTCCAACTTGCTAAGGTGTAACTCAAATACTCTCTCCTCTGAAATACCTACCCAAACTTCCCTCCTCAGGGAGAATCGAGCCCCTTCCTGCCCCTGTTTCCTTAACACTTCTATAAAAGGCCTTACAACACAGTGTCCTGATTATATCTGTTCACTTCTCAGTCTCTTCATAGACTCTGAGCAATATGAAGGCAGGGACCGAGTCTGCATCAAAACTGTGCTCTCATGGTCCAGGGTAGGCTCTGAGGGACCATTTGGGGTAGCCTTGCATTCAGGCACATGCCCACCTGAGGAGCAGAGACTGTCCTCCCCGAGCCTTGAAATTGAGCCTCACACAGATGTTCTATATCTCTTTGACTTCCTCTCCTTCCTCTTCACACCCTGGTCTTGTCTTTTTACCAAAAGAACCTGAGATGACACATCATACTTCTTTTGGGCACCAACACTGAGTGGCTGATTGACTTTGTCCTATAGGGCTCATAAGGATGGACCTGCTTGAGGAGCAGAGAGGGCAGGTCAAACTACCAGGCCTCAGTCTTCCTACCCAAACACACCTCATCTGGACCCCTATCTCTGGTTGCAGAAGTAAGGTAAGTTGGCCTCGTCCTTACCCACAGAAGTCAGCGGAGCAGTGGAAACCTTCAAGTGTCGGTGAGAAAGCCTCCGGTGGGGACTGTGAGCTCTGAAAGAATGGAGCCATCTTGTTAAGAAAATTGGTCCACAGCTTGGAAACAGGCAAACAGATGCCTGTATCTTTTTTCAAAGTCTTATGAGTGCATCGTCGTACAGGCTTTCTAAGTTTGGGAACTTGTTAGAAATGCAAATTCTCAGGCTCTACCCCAGACCTACTGGATCAGAAACTCTGGGGGTGAGGCCCAGCCACCTGCGATCCACCAGGCTCCCCAGGGTACTCTGCTGCATGCTGAAGTTTCCAGACCACTGCCCTAATGATATGTAACTTTGACTACTTGCTGTACATTAGGGCTCAGACTGAATGGACATCTAACTCATAGAAAACTCATAAAATATAAATAATTGTAGAGATGCATATGATTTCTGCTAAGGAGAAAAGATAAAAATGGGATTTCATTGTCCAGTAGAGCATTAACCTGTTTTATATTTAACTTACCAGTTTTATTCCAGTGTTCTTTTCCTCCTCGCTGAATATATGTGTGTGTGTGTGTGTGTATATATATATATATATATATTTCCATTGCTTATATCCTCCTTCCTTTGAACTAGCTTTGTTACCCTGATGGGTCCCCACATTCATGAGTTAAATATATCTTTGACATGTGCTCACTATATATTTGTATGAGAATTATCTGTGTAACTTTTTGTGAATAGTACTTAGACAATCTCGTTCTAGCTAGATTAATGTATGGGCTAGTGCTGTGCAAAACCAAGGCAGTGGCATCCCTGTGCATGTGAGTCAATATCCCTTCCAAGAGATCATCCTCCACCCAGGACCCACCCTGGCCAGGGGAAGGATTCTACAGTCAGAGACTCACATCCTTCGGGTCTGTTTGCAAACATCTGGGCAGTTATACAGGAAACTCCTATGCTGTGATTCATGTATTTTTAAAAGGGTAGCAGGGTGAAAAGAGCCAAATCCAGGAGAAGAAAAATAATTTGGGGAGGGGGGAAGATAATGGAAAAATCCCAATCTCTCTCACACATTTTGAGAACTTGCATGACTGTATTTTCATCAATAAAATGGTTCAAGAAAGAAGGAAAGATTTATGAAAATATAGCTGCCTGGTCCCTCTGTGCTAGGAAATGTTCTTCACAGCACAAAGATCAGACACCTGGGATGTACCTGTTGGCCAGGTTTTTGTCAGTTTCTCCTTCCGGTGAACTGGCATCCCCAGTCAGGACGATCGTGGGTGGACTGCAAGATATTCCTGCGGTGGGAGAGCCCTGGTGGTTTAGAATGAAAACACAGGTGGAGTTAGGCTTGGGAGGAAGTTTCCAGGAGCTGGAGCTGGAGCTGGAGCCTGTATTCTAGCATCAGGATTCTCAGAGCCTCTTGACAAGGGGACAAATGCAGTGTATTTGGATTATTCAAAGAGGAGGAAAAATACATATATATTTTTTTCTCCTTCATTCCCTAGCAGGCATTCAACTGAGCTAACAAGGTCTATCTTTCATGCACTAAGATTAGGGAACCTCTAAGCCATCCCTAGTGACACTCTAGGAAATCTGTGACAATCTAGGGAAATGTGGCAGAGTGCTCAGGCTGTGATCAGCCTCTTTGGGGGAAAATGGAGGTCAGGAGAAGAGGTGGCGGCACCCACACATTCCTGATATTCAGTGACAATCCTACATTTGGGTAAATGTGCTTAAAATCTCCTTCACCCATGCCGTCTTTTTTCTTTTTAAACTACTTTATTAAGGTACAATCAATATACAAAAATCTATACATATTTAATGTATACAACTTGATGAGTTTAGAGAGTACACACCTGTGAAGTCTTTACCACAATCTGTAACATAAACCTATTCATCACTTCCAAAAGTTTCCTCTTGCCTTTTATTTATGATGATCATGATGAGAAGAACACTTATAAGATCTACCCCCTTAGCAAAGTTTTAGATATGAATACAGTATTGTTACTTCCAGCCACCTGGAACTCTAGGACTCAATCATTTTGCACAACTCCCATATCATCTTGATGGAGCTTCTTTCCTATACAGCCTCATGGGTGACCACTGCCATAGGAAAGTCAACCGAAAGACTGACTGTGCTTATAATATGTGTGAGGTTCCTTCCCTGGGTGGAGTTTATTTTGGTCATGAAAGTTTGAGCTCTGAATATATTCATATTTATCATGTTTAGAATTTTTTATATGAATCCTTTGGTGAACAAAAAAGTGTACTTTGGTTAAAATATCATGTTTATTCTAGTTATATCATAAGGTTTTGGCATCCCTTGGAGTGGGACTTTTACAAATTCCCAACATGCTTTGATGCAGATAAGATAGATCTATGTAGAGGGGCAGGAGGGGCCAATCACTAATTTCTGCATGTTGTATTCTGAAAAAGAAAAAAATCATAGTAGTGGTGATGTGGTTATACTATACTAGAGGCCCCGTGCACGAAATTTGTGCACTGAGGAAGGGGGGGGGGGTCCCTCAGCCCGGATTGCAAGAGGACACAGGCCAGGCCGAGGGACCCCACCAGTGCACAATTGGGGCCAGGGAGGGATCCGGGAAGTTGGCCAGCTGGGGAGGGACCACGGGAGGGGTCCAGGGCATGTCTGGTCCATTTTGCTCAGTCCCGATTGGCCGGACCCCAGCAGCAAGCTAACCTACTGGTTGGAGCATCTGCCCCCTGGTAGTCAGTGCACATCATGGCGACTGGTTGACCAATTGAATGTCTGCCCCCTGCTGGTCAGTGCACATCATAGTGAGTGGTTGAGCGGCCTTAGCATATCATTAGCATGTTACCCTTTGATTGGTTGAATGGCTGACTGGACAACCGGACACTTAGCATATTAGGCTTTTATTATATAGGATACCCATGTCCAAGAGTTGAACGTATTCAGGCTGCTAAGTAAGTTAAATATAGTTTGTTTTATTTTATTGACTCACTACCTATTTTGTAAAACCATTTGAAGTAACCAACAATAAAATATAAGATAAACAAAACATGAGACTATAAAAATGAGGGAATTATTTGGTAAATATAAACGTCCCTAGCAGATGAAGAGAAATGCATGCTCCTTCTAACCACCCAGGGTTTGACTCTGAAGTTCAACAATTTAACCTGAAACCTAATGAAGCTGTGATCCATGTGGTCCAGGTTTTAAGAAGGAAGCTTTTAAGAATTGCTCAGCAGACAACAAAACAATGCAAAAGGAACTTGTCTTCACTCTCACCTCTCAAAGGACATGAAAGGGGAATGAATCCTAACTCCCATCCTTGCCTGTCCCCTCTCCTTTGACTCTTCACTTGCTTACCGTCCCCACCCAAATCCTCTCTCTTCCTCCCCCCTCTGCTTACTCATGCTCCACCCAATTATTTATTGAACAGATTGTCTTGATTCTTCTTTTTATGATTGACTCACAAAAGTTTTGGGGTATAAGACCAGGGTCAATCTGTAAACACTCTCACATCATTATGCTACATTCTGTCCATCTAGCAAACATTGACTGAATGCCTAATATGTGCCGGGGGTCTATGGTAGGGCCTGGGAAGACAAAGGTAAACCAGGCGGGCCTCTGAAATGCTTCCCAGTTAGTGAAATGTGATGGAAAATGGGGTGGAATTATCCTTCCCCAACCCCCAACTCCAGGTAGCTCCCAGGGCCTGGTGCCCTCCGTGTGGACACCTGTGAGGTAAATGGCCTGCAAGCCATGGCGGGCAGCTGTCTGGTGAAAGTTTGCTCTCCCTTCTGGTTGAAGGCCACTTGCAACAAAGCTCTCACTCAGAGGAGGGTTGGGGCAGAGGTGCCCACACGGAAAGACAGAAACAAACCCTGGGTGGCAAGTGCCAAGCATGTAACCACACAATTTTAAGCTGCTTAAAAGCCAGGAGGCATGAGCAATCGGAGAGAAATCCTTTATCCCTGATGGAATGTCCTGGAATGCTCCCCACTCTCTCCTTCCAATGTGTACAAAGTAATAAAATCAACGTGTACTTTCCCTAATCAGCTCACGGAATGGTTGAGCAAGTTCTGTACAATTTCTAGTTTTTTTTTCAGAACTGTATTGAGGGGAACATTCAGTCTTTTGTGGGCTGTGCTTCACCCTGGCACATCACTGGGGAGACAGTGATCCAGGAGAGAGTGTGGGAGGAATCAGGGGCCCTCTGGGGTGAATTCTGCCAGGTGTTAATATGGTGTAAAGACCCATCCGGGGCTCTCACTCTGAGTTGCATGACCTGAAGAAAGCTTGCGGGGCAGTGTGTTCAAATACAGACCGCAAGCAAATTCCTGGTTTTAGGACTGCAAGGGCCTGGGCCTTGGGAGCCACACTAATTCGTGATACAGTTTCTCATGTACTAGCTGTGTGAACTTGAGCAAGTTCCCTTGACTCCCTGTGCCTTGGTTACCTCATCTGTAAAATAATTATGTCACAGGGTAGTTACAAGAACCAAACAGGTTGATATAGCAGTAGGATTGCCAGATAAAATACAGGATGCCCAATATTCAAATAAACACTGAATAATTTCTTAGTATAAGTATGCCCCAAATATTGCATGGACATAACTGTATTTTCATTTGTTAAATCTGGCAGAAGCAGGTCCAGGTGGAAAGCTTATGGGGACACCTGGCCGCTAGTAAATGCCCAACGAGCGTCAGGGGTTATTCTGTTATTGCTACTTTTGGAACTGACTTCATTATTTTGGAATTGGGTTTTGAAGAGATTGTCCTTCTTGGTTTTGGGTCTGAGCAACCATCTGGAGTTAAGGGGACCAGCCTGTCTGGTGGAGCCACAGAGCATCTTCCCCAGGCACCTGACCACATGGCCTGCGTTATCAATGACTCCCAGAGAGGAAGCCCACCTCCAAGGCCACATCCCCCTCTCTCGCCATCTACTTCTCAGACCAAAGACAGATGTCCTTTATGGGTTTCAGACACGGAAGCA